GGTATAAAGACGCAATATTTGGATCATATGTTGTTGACCACATTAAAAAGATATTCCCAAAATTTCAAGTCCCTGGCCCACCCCATTTTTGAGATATGCATCGCCAAACATTCAATTTTTGTGTTTTTTCCATTTTTGACGATGTATATCTCGAAAATGGGGTGGACAAGGTACTTGAAATTTTGGAAATAGTTTTTGAATGTGCTCAACATCATATGATCCAAATATTGCATCTTTATACCATTTCGAAATTTTCACCAAGTATACTAACTGCGGAAGTTCCTTAAGGTGTTTCTCCCGAAGTCAAAGTAATGAAAAAAAAATCGAAAATTCACGAGAGAAAATTCTGAGTATGCTGCATCATTAAGAATTCTTGCACATTTCTTCAGATCTCAGTCTCAAGAAAAAAAATTAAATTTCGATGTTTTTGTAACCCCTCCAGCTATAACCTCCGAGGTTACCCCACTCTCAATTAGGGAAATTTCCATGGCACCCAAAAAAATAATGAACTATTGAAGAAAAACTAGTGGGTGATAAATTAAATCTTTCATCAGAACACGTATAAGTTTTAGATTTTTTCAGATTTCATAAAAAAGTTATTTGAACAAATGATTTGGAAAATTATTAGTTTCGGGGTAATTACACACTCACGCACAGGCACGTGATTCGAATGTCAATGAGCATCATGGGAAAGGTATGGGTTGGACCATGGACTGAGAGAGAAAACACTCGACAGGTTTACCAACTCGAGACGCATTTTAATATTATTTCAATAATATCCCTTAGCTTAGCGCAGTGCGTAAGTTCGTTGTCTCACATGCGAAAGGTTCCGAGTTCAAATCCCGGCCGGGTAGAATGGTGCGATCTAACCATTTAAAGTCTTGATCATCATCACAGTATACCCTAATCGGGTCGAAGGGATGTAAAATAAAGATTTAAAAAAAATTATTTCAATAATTAGAAAAATATCCAATAAAAATTATTTGACGCCCGTAGGTGATGAGAAAAAAATCAATCAATCTGATGAATAAAATCGATATTCAAAAAATCTTCAAATGCACACCTAAATAGTTACTTGAAAATTGGAAAATTTCGTGCGCAGCGATTGAATCAGTGCTCGACAACAATAAGACTCGCCTTCCGTTTCACCCCCCTGTGATCTACAGGCGAAACACCTTGAACAAGTGGAAAATTGCTTTCCTCACAGCGTAGTCAATATACTAATTATAGGATAAACTTTAAATAAGTTTATTCATCTACCTATAAGTCATGTAATTGGCCTCGGCTGTTTGACTGTTCCTACAATAAATAAATAAAAAAAATGAAAAATAACTGAATATTTTTTTTGTATTTTTGCTGTATTTAGAAGGTCATTTTATGTTGGGGGACGGGAGTTTTTCCACCAATAAAGATACACCCTGTATATATATATATATATATATATATATATATATATATATATATATATATATATATGGGGGGGGGGGTTAAAAAGGAAGGTTTTGCAAAGAGCCCCCCTCTTGGCAAACAGAGAGGTTTTGTAAAGAGAGGTTTTGTGAAAGGGGGTTTTTGTACAAAGGGTCTATTTTATTTTGTCGCCATCTCCCAAGCTGGAATCGCCGAGGTTCAACACCCGTTCCAACCAGGGCTCAACCTCGACTTACCGGGTGTTGGTAGACAAGCTTAGACCATAATTTAGCCGATGGTTAAGCCAGTCAATGGCGCATCTTGAGCCTTAGCTAGCAAGGTCGGGCCAAGGACGGACGAAGACTGTCCGCCGACACTTGGTCGTTGACGAGGGGCTACCAACGTTTGCCCAAGTTTGATAGCCAATGAGTAGCCAGAATCGACAGACGTTCATTAGCGGGCGTCCCTGGTCCAAACTCGACTAGCCCGTCTTCGGCCTAGCATCAGGTAGGGCAGTCTTCATCCAACATTAGTCCGACTGTGGTAGCAAAGGCTCAACTCCCACCACTGGCTGAAGACTGGTTCAACCACTAGTTGAATTATGGTCCACGCTTGTCCACTAATGCTGGATGAGTCGGTTGAGCCAAGCTTGAACCAGCAGGCGAGAAGAGTGGAAGGGAGGTGTCTTTGTAAAAACTCTCAGGGACGAAGCAAGGGAGACATGGGAGAATAATAATAATATTAGGTGTATGACTTGATTTTTACATATTTTTTCTTCGAGCTTAAAATAATATTCAAAATAGAAATATATTCGCGGTCCTTTCTAGTTTTGAAAGGATCAGACAAAAGGTTTCAGAAAATGGAACGACAATTTTATGTAAGTTACATAACCTTTCAGAATAGCAGAGCACATTCGGCACTGCATTTTATACGAATTCCAACAAGGAAAAAATGCTTCTGAAGCACGGGAATCAATGTGTAGTGTTCTTGGTGCCGACGTTGTATCTTATGAAACGTGTAATTATTGGTACAAACGTTGTAGAAGTGGTGATTCCGATCTGAGTGACCAGCCGCGTCCAGGACTGCCTCGAACGTTTACAGATGCGGAATTGCAAGCTCTACTGGATGAAAACTCAATGCAAACGCAACAAGAGCTTGCAGCTCAGTTGGGAGTCACCCGAACAGCTATTCCTAAGCGTTTGCGTCTAATGGGAAAAATCCAAAAACTTGGAAGGTAGGTCCGACATGTGTTGACCGAATACAATCTAGGTCAACGTATGAACACGAGCCTGTCACTGCTTGCCCGGCAACAAAAAAGGACTTCTTGTGGAGAATTGTGACGGGTGATGAAAAGTATATTTTTTACGAGAATCCCAAACGTAAAAAGTCGTGGGTAGATCCCGGACAATCCAGTACATCGACGCCGAAACAGAACATCCACTTAAAGAAGATTCTCTTGTGTATCTGGTGGGACATGAAGGGTGTGCTTTATTACGAACTCCTGGAAACAGGTCAGACGGTGACTGCGGAATGCTACAGTCGACAACTGAACAAACTGAGCGAAGAACTTGATCGGAAAAGGCCATTTACTGGGCAAGGAAGCAGGCAAGTCATACTGCTGCATGACAATGCTCGACCTCATGTTACTCGCGTCACTCAGAAGACCCTCTTAAACTTGGGATGGGAAGTTCTCCCGCACGCGGCATATTCACCAGACTTGGCCCCATCCGATTCTCACTTGTTCCGGTCCATGCAGCACGCCTTAGTGGATAAACAGTTTAAAACGCGGGACGATGTGCGTAAATTCGTCGATGACTTTATCGCCTCGAAGCCTGCAAGTTTTTTTCGCGACGGCATTCGAATGTTACCTGGGAGATGGCGCAAGGTCATAGAAAACGATGGACAATATTTTCAAGATTAAGTTCGTTGTTCTCTATTTTTTTATATTAAATAAATTTACTGAAAAATCTGTAAAAATTAAGTCACACCTAATAGATAAGTCATTTGCTTTCGAATGGAATTTCTATGACTGTGAATTTTAAATTGAATTTAATGACTGATTGAATTCAAACAATGTCCCAAGGTTAAAATTCTCTACCTTTCCCTGAATATTGGTTTCAAAATAAAATTTTTCAACAATAGATGATGCAATCAATGTCATAATCGACCTCGGTCGATGGTATTGGGAAGAATATTTTAAATCACAATTGGATTCATTTAAATAATAATTTTTTTCAGTTATCGTCGAAAAACGATCGGTCACATACCACACGTACATACATCCGGACATGGTCTGAAAAAAGCTACTCGAACCCTTGAGGCGAAAATTAGTTGTCCTAACACAAAAAATTAAAAATTTCGGATTTAACTAATACAATGGTTCCCTTCGAACGCAAAAATGGAAAAAAAATCATTCAATTCTCCACTGTTGACAATAAAAAAAATTTCCACTGAAACATAATATTTTTCGCGGCAATAGATGTTCTCGTAAGAATTTCATGCGTCTTTTGGTTGAGTACAGTAGTTCTAGAAGGAATTATATGATGATGCACCGGTTATATCCAGTGAATATTATTGAGTAGTGTATACATATACTTTTTTAGTGCACTTATAATTTCCCGGAACAAATGATAATTTCACGAGAAAACTTGAATTTTCTACGCGAAAGTTTTGATATTGGCAAAAAAGCAATAAATTCTGTTTTCCTACCGACACTTCGTATCTTTTTAAATAATTCTAAATTTCCGTTCATCATGTTGGTTTATTTCTGTCAAGTAGATCTGTTTCACTCCAGCAATCAAACATTTGTTTATTTCACTTTGTAAAAACTAGGGGAATGTGGGACGAAGTGGAACATTTTATGATCTTCTCCAAATCCCTACATCTTCATTTATAAACAAACATATTGGTAATTGGGAAAGATCACAAAACATTCCACTTTGCCCTGCCCTCCTCTAATGCAGCTAATTTTTCCCAATGTTAATCAGAAATATTGGTTTCGATTTTTGGAAAATGCATAAACATCCTTGAAGTGTACATAAACACTTAAACATCCTTGTATGTGAAATGTGTTTAGATATTGCTAATCAGCGAAGATCACGAAACGTTCCACTTTGCCCTGCTATCCCCGACTGCAGCTAAAATTGCTCCTGATCGTCAGAAAAGTTGATTTCGATTTTTGAGAAAAACATAAACATCCCTGAAGTGCTGCCCACATAGTCGATTCTAGAGGCTTTTGTAGGTTAAGAATCTTCCCAAGGTACAGCTGCTCCCCGACTCACCCATCCAATCACCGTCTTCAACGAAAAAAAAATAATCCCCCCCCCCCCCCCCCCAGGCACAAGGAATCGGAAATAATCTAAAAAAAAGTAGAAAATACCCGACAAAATAAACTCCGAGTCTCGTGAGTGCGACATTGCCTGAGAACCAACGATCAAACTGTCAAACTTATCCTTGAAGTCAACCCTCTAACAATGGAATTAACGTAATTACCCTCACAACGCCGCAAAGGTATTACCCCAGACGCAAAGACGTTCCTAGATGAAAAAAATCACTCCAAAACTTTGAATTCTCCTTTTATGATTTTAACTTACCAACACCGGCCGCGGGCACCGCCATGATCACAAATATCTGTTGGGGCACGTTATTATTACACCAAAACAGCCGGATATCCTGCCGGTTTATGGATTATTTACTTAACAGATTAAAGGTTTATCCTTCGATAACACAGTAGTTTATGGAATCTTAAGTATCAATTGTCTACGATAAATAATTGTGACGAGTGTGTGTCGTTAATTCGACGAAGTTTTTTTTGTACCAAAAATTACCTACGACCAACCTCTCTGAGGTTGCCGCCAAAGAGGATAGACTAATGTAGAGGCTCAGATCTCAGGGTTTCGGTGACCCCAAGCCAAAAATAGTACGTCCCCAACGGAGGGCGCCACGGTCGAATCTGACGGCTGGGCGAACGGGTGACCCCCACGACCGCCACTTTGCTAGTGACATATCAATAGAAGCGCCAAAATTCAAATATACTCATGGTCCATACGGTGCGCAACGAAACGCTGTCAAAATATCTATATGTCAACGGTGGACATCTTTGAAAACAAGCATATTTCGTCATATTAAAGTTTCAGAAAGCTCCTTTTTCATAATTAAACATTTCTATCACTATGGTTGGTACAAATTGATAATAGTCTCATAACCGTTCATATCCCATTGAATATGGGACATTCAGTTGTACGCTTCAATAATTTGTTTACTGAAATGGTGTTCTACAAATTTGTCTTCTCACAAAATTTGAAATTGTAAAAGAATAAAAAATTACACATAAGTGGATAAAACAATTTTCCTTCAGTGAGAATGTACATTAATATCAATTTTCGAATAATACGTATGTGATTCCGAGTATTCCACCAAAAAGTGAGATTATATTTCCTTTTATTCGTGAATCGACTGCATGGTATCAAATTATATCCTGCAAACTCTCTTTGTCATGCTTCAGCCAAATGCAACTGTTCCTACCTGGATGGTTTTTTGGAAGTATGATACGTGGAAGTATTATACTCACTAAAAATAATTGCTTATAATTCTATTCATTTCCAAGATAATCAGCAGTCAATTTTCGAAAAAGGAGAATTTACTTTCAATTTCATCGGAATAGATACCAACTTCAAATCAGTGAGACATTGATAGTCGTGCTATCGCAGTTAAGTGAAAATGTTCTTGCTGCTAATTTAATTAATTTACGATACTCTACAGGTCGACAAAAAGAGTTATACATGGTATAAGAAATACAATACCTGAACTCTTCATGATTTTATAATTCTATCGTATCATTATGATAATTGTTCCATCCATCAGAGTTTATACCTTGGACATACTGTGCAAGTATAAATTTCGAATCGAAGAAACTTCATTTAGTCCGAAAAATGTCGGTCTTTAAAAATGTCGGTATACTACCGTCAATATGATATGGCAGGAAGGTACCTTAGGAGTTTTCGTTTCAGTGTATCGCAGAGATGGCATCACTTGTTCTGATTCTCTTGTTGCCCCGCGGGAAAAGCGGCGACCCGATCGAATCGTCGGTAAATGAGTCGGGTGCGTGAGTAACTCGGCAGTAGCAGTTCCGCTGTCACAGGGACAGGTTCGCAGGGATACTTTTGTCCTCCTTGTACTCAATGTTTATTTTATGTTTTTCAGTTGATTTATTCGCCGACTAATTAATATTAAGGGATGAAACAAAGACTGTTCAATGGAGAATTAAATTCCCCATCCATCACGCCACGTTTCATCCCTTAATCTCTGCAATAAAAAAATTAATATTGCGACGAAAGTCACGGCGCTATAAGAAACCCAATGTTTTCTCGGCGCAGAGTGACTCCCCATTAATTCGCCCGCTAATTAAAAAATCGTCTC